TTTCTATGTTTCGTAGCATTGCATTTTCTTATTTGTCATCTCTTTAAATTTTTTGTTTGTTTGTGATTTCTTTGGCAGGTACTTGGTCCCAAAATGATGGAAAACAGAAAACCTTTTGAATTGCGCAAAGTCTTAATCGTTTACAATTTTGCGCAGGTACTCTTCAGCGCCTGGCTATTCTATGAGGTAAGTGTGTGTGTATTTGTACTTAACTAACTTAACTACATATATAATCAAGTTGGTAATATTTAACCATTTTGTTCCGCCATTAACAGTCCTGCATTGGTGGTTGGTTGAATGGCTATAATATCAGATGTGAACCTGTGGACTATTCATATTCCCCAGGAGCGTTGAGGGTAAGTAGGAGATGATCATTTTATGGGTAGAAAAAAATTTTTAACTTTAGTTAGAGGAAATAATTTTGGACAATTTAAAGTGAAAAAGATCCAGGTTTTTTTTAAGCAAGTAACGTTTAATAAGTTATATGTATTAGAGGTTTACGCCGACAGGCTTTGCGGCGGCGGTGTGGCCAACTTTAAAAGGAATTGGCGTCTGAAAACGCCGGCGCTACTGCCCATAAGGAAGATTCCAAAGAGCCATGAGGCTCTTGTCAAGGTCATCAGATCTGCACCGTTAGTTCGATTTTCAAAAGTAAGGAGTCAAATTAAAAGGCCTGGGCTGTAGATGTGCAATAGGGTTTTACTTTTTCGTAAGGAGTTGCCACCTGTCAAGCAATTTAATTTTAATTATTAATCAGATCCACATCGTTCGTTCGATTTTTAAGGTCAGGCGTCAAATTAAAGAGCTTGGACTGCACATGTAAAATGAGGTTTTCCTTTTCGAAAAGAGTTGCCACCTTTCAAAAAATCTCATTTAAACGATTTAATAAGTTAAATCTATTATTACAATATGGGTATCAATCGAAATGGTATTGGAAAGGCCTTATTTCTTAACTACATATAAGAGGGTTGCCACCTGTTAACAAAACCAAGTGCAACTTAACTTAAGAATATTGTGTAATTGAAATATGATCACAATTTGGGTGTCGGACGAAAGAATTTTAAGCCGGTTTCGGTTTGAAAAAAAAATTTAATATGGGTTAGAAACAAAGGAATGCTAAGATATCTTTACCTTGAACATTTGGAATATTTTTACGGTTTACGGTTTACCTGATTAAAATGATAAATTCAAATTAGTTAAAATGTTAAATGAATTATTACAATATGGGAATCAATCGAAGTGTGTTTAATAAGGCTTTATTTTTGTACTAATTTTAAGGGCGTTGCCAAATGTTTAAAAAAAAACAATTCTACTAAATTCATCAGGTAATTGAAATATGTATCAAATTATCAGACGAAAGAGAAAGAAAATAAATTTTACTTTGAAAATACTTTTGAAGAGGGTTGCCACCTATTGGAAGAGTCGAATTAAGTTAACTTGCATTTATACTAAATAATAATATATACTAAATTATAATAAAATGTGGGTGTCAAACGAATGAGTGTTTCGAAATGAATTTGAAAAACTTTATTTCTGAACTATATTTAGGACGATTGCCATATCTTTAGAAAATCAGATTCAAAATATGGATGGGAAACGGAAAAGTGGTACGATTTTTTTTTGTGTGAACATTTAAAATATTTAATAGGTATTTGAAAAGGGTTGCCACCCGTTTAAATTAAAATTATTTAATAAGTTAAATGAATTATTAACACATGGGATCAATCGAATGTGTTTAAAAAGGCTTAACGCTATATTTAGGAGAGTTGCCACTTATTTGGGAAATCGAATTCAAGTTAATTAATCAGTTAATTGAAGTTGTATCACAATGTCAACCGAAAGACAATTAAGAAGATTCTAGTTTCAAAATTATTTTGAAGAGGATTGCAACATGTTTGAAAAGTTGAATTTAGTTAACTTATATACGAGCCAAATAAAATATTAAAACATGAGTTCAATTGAGATAGATTTATGAAAGCTTTAGTTAGAAAATAATTTTAATTAGAGTTGCCACCTTTTCAAAAATTCATATCTATATAAATATATATAAAACGCGAGGCAGTTTTTGTGAAGATCATCAAATCTGCATTGTAGATGTGCAATAGTAATAAAGTTCCGAAATCTGTCTTGACTTAGAAACGGTCGTATAGATTTTGATGAAATTTGGCACACTGATCACCTAAAAATCTGCCTTACATTTGTTTTACATATGTTTTAAGTTTTTAAAGCCTGCCTGAAGGCTGCCGCCTATTTAAAAAGCTAAATTAAATTTTGGCGTTTTAACGCCATGCGGGTTTACTAGTCTCAACACGTCATCTCGTCAGTGTTAGGCATGCGCCATGTCAATTCAGATTATAATTATATTTAGTTCATTATTGAATTAGTTTTAAATTTAAATATTGTTAATATTGTTAGGTTATTGAAGTAATTTGTGGAGCTATTAGTTTATACATTTTTTTAATAATCTTATCTGCCAATATGTTAAATTACGGAGTTATTACGATTTTTTTCGGGTTGTAGATTGAAAACAAGGGTAGTCTGCTTTTTCCAACAGATTTACCCATCAACTCCCACCAGAAAGGGCATTTTTGACCCCCATTTTAAAAAATGGCTTATAGATGGAGAAAAATTAATAAGAATAAGAAAATAAAATCATTTTCTAAAAACTAATAAGATTAAAAAAACTATTTTTATTTTTAAAACATTAAAATCTATATATTAAAAAAAATGCAGTAGAAAAAAATTTAATAAAAGCAAAAAGAAAATAAAAATCAGTACCGGGAAAGTCGACCCGGATCGCTCGAATGAAACACTGGTACTTTGCATACTCGGCTATTTCGACTATTGGCGCAGCGGGAGCACAATCAAACAAACAAGTGCTTTCTGTAAAAAAAAGTTGACAAGGGTGTTTTTTTCTTGTAAACCTTTCGTGCCAGACAGATAAACAATGTCTTTCAAACTAACTTGCCGACTGCATTTCAATTGTCCCACAAATGACTTTCAACCATCTTAGCCAGAATTGCCCTGTTAGTCAACGAAACTTTGGTTTCTGTATTTTTGTGTTAGCGTCACGCTGTCTGTGAAAGCAGAAAAATACAAAAGAAACTAAAGACCTCATTAAAATCAACAAAAACTGGCAACGTTAAAATATGCGCAGATTTAGGGTGTGTCTAGCTTTGATTTCAAAATAAAATAGCGTTTACATATACTAAATACATACATAAAAAAAAGAGATGGTTGATTGCATAGAGAAGTTGGCCATTATAAAGATTTTTCTTTGATACAAAAAAAAAACTAGCTTCGTTCAGTTGATGCCAAAATTTTTTCACTTCTTAAATCATGCAAGTGTTGATAATCCGGAATTTAATTAATGCGCATATATTAATTTTTTTTTTTGTTGGTTAAATTTCATAAGCGAAGTCTGGACCAATGAACAGGATTATTCTAACAAGGAGCATAATAGTATGAATAATTAGTGATAAGCAAACAATGAGCAAATTTTGGTTTTTGTACGTACATATGTATGTATGTAAGTGGCTATGCTAAAATGGGGTAAATAAGCATGAAAAATGTCATCCGCATAGTAAGCTTTGAATGTCAACAAAATTGCGAATATTATTATGCCATCAGAGACGTTTGTTTTCAATTAAGTTAAATAAGTGGAACTCATTTATTTGTAAGCGATATTTCTACGCGCATGGAGAGTTCAGGATGAAGGCGAAAAAAGTAATTGAAAAATAAATTTTTGATTATTTACGCAGTGGAGCAGACGTTTAGTGCCTCAAGCACGCACTTTGTAATAAGTTACAAATTTTGATTTATACGGTTTTGGTTATAATAAATGAATGCTTGTTTGAGTAATTGTATATGTATTTTTAATGACACTAACAAAAATTTAGGGCAGAGACTCATAGCGCGAGTTTGGTCATCGGATTTTTGTTTTATCGATGAGTCCTTAAAAAATTTTCTGCTACTTATTTACATATATGAAGGGAGCTATATTTTTAATTAGCTCTCCGCCCTGAAATTTGTACATACAGTGGCGAAAATATAAATGCGGATGCGACATTTTAACAAGTTTTGGCTATTTTGCTTTGTTTTTTTATTGTTTATTTTTCTATGAAAGTAAAGCTTATCGCCTAACAAAGATTATGAAAAATTTCAAACTTTATAAAAAAATAGCAAAATTCGACAAAGTTTCAGCAAAATTTCGAACATTTTTATTAGATTTCTTATAGATATTTTAAATAGGCTGCTAAATTTTAATACTCGTATATTAAAGTGCAAGTTTTAAGCGGCTACAAAATAACGTTGATTTTTTGCAATTTTTTTCTTGAAAGTGTTGCTCATTTTCTCAATATCAAAAATTGTCGAACATACTTTGTATAGAAAAAAGGCAAAAATTAACGGTGTAATAGTCTATAAAACTGAATATCAAAAAAGTTTCGTTCTTTGAATTATAAATTGTCCAAAATTGTTTTCCAACCACATCGAAAAATAAAAATAAAAACTACAAAATAACTTTAATATACATACCTTTGGTTCAAATATGTTTTCCCTTTTTCATTCACTTCAGGTGGCACGAGGCTGTTGGTGGTACTACATCTCGAAATTCACAGAATTTTTCGACACTTTCTTCTTTGTGATGCGCAAGCGCTACGATCAAGTGTCGACGCTGCATGTAATCCATCACGGCATTATGCCCTGCTCTGTTTGGTGGGGTGTGAAATTCACACCCGGCGGCCATTCGTCGTTCTTCGGCTTCCTCAACACCTTTGTACACATAATTATGTACACCTACTACATGTTGGCTGCCATGGGACCCAAAGTACAAAAGTATTTGTGGTGGAAGAAATATCTTACTGTCTTGCAGATGATTCAGTTTGTGTTAGTCATGGTGCACTCATTCCAGTTATTCTTCAGAAACGATTGTAACTATCCAATTGGTTTTGCTTACTTTATTGGTGCGCATGCGGCCATGTTCTATTTCCTATTCTCCGACTTTTACAAACAGGCGTACCTCAAGCGTGAGCAGAAGGTGAGCTTATATGAAAGATAAAAAAATAAACATAATTACATACATACATATTAATGCACTAGGGTGGTCCTTAAAGTATCAACATCATGGAATACGTCTTTATTTTGTTCTTAAGTACAAAATAAAGACATCCATATAATTTTTTTAGTCGCAAAAATTTGAGGAAATTTTTACTATAAATCTGATAAATTTAACATGAAATTGAAACTTATTCATATAAATTCATACAACTTTTGTCGAATTTTTGCGATTTTTTTTTTTAATTTAATTTTCTCAAACCCTGGTTGTTGATACTCGTATTTTTAAGGGCAACCCTAATACACATACAGTGCTGGACAAAAGTATGGGCACATAGAATTTTTCACAATTTTTGTATTCTAATTTATTTTCAATAATTTTTTATAAAAATGTAGTTCGTCCTACACCAAAAAAAATAAAGAGTAAATCTCTAAACTTTGTGCAAAACTCAGGCAAACGCAATACTAATTTGCAACTTTCTATTCAGATTGATTTTAAATTCTAGGTACGCAGTTTTATTGTCCAACTAATTTTAGTATAAAAAATCGCGTTAATTTTTGACAATTTTTTTCACCCAGGTTCTTCCAGTCACCTTAAACTAAAAAAAAATGCCAAAAATCAACGCGATTTTTAGATACTTCAAACTTGCACTTCGTTATACTAAAATTGAATGGGCAAAACTGAAGTCTTAGAATTTTTCTAAAAAATCTAATTAGAAAGTTGCAAATTAGTATGGAAATTTATTGAATTTTCCTGACTTTTGCACAAAGTTTACAGATTTTGTTTTTTGGTGAAGTACGAACTATATTTTTTTTTTTAATATTGAAAATAAATTAGAATAAAAAACTTTACATATATTGCGAAA